TGAAAATTTACAGAGCAAATTCATTTTCCATACAGCAGTTCATATGCATTTTGTTTCATGACATTTACTGGAATGCCCCACAGTGTAACAGCTCTATTCCCACTTCTTTCCTGTAGTTACCTCTTCCCTGTGTCTTTTCCTATGCGTTCTTCCCCCGAGCTATCTCCCTGAGCCAATACTGCTCTTCTGTTCTCTCATGACTGATCATTCTAAGGAGTGTATCTACATGATACAAATGTTCAGCCTATATGTCTGTCTGTTATTTGGCTGGAAGCCACGGTAGTGAGTTTAGTTCTAGACCTGAAGGAGCCATAGTCTTGGGTGTCTCATGAGGCTCTCTCAGACCAGTAAACCTGGTCTTTCTCATGATTTTGACTTTTGTCCCATGTTGCTTTCCTACTCTATCCAGGATCTCATACTTGGTTTTAAAAGCTTTTTCTTGCTTTAATTTTTCCATTGTTTTTGGTAGGAAAAGGTTAAGAATGATGTAGGCTTTTCTGCTAAGTATGTAAGGAGAAAAGGATGGTCAGGGGTGCATTTGGTTAGCAGATTGGGCAGTGGCAAACTGAGAGTTTCCATTTAATGAGTTTGTTTTTTCTCTGTGAAATGGTAGGTGTTATCATGTTAAGAGTGATGAAGTACTGAAAGGTAGTTTTGGAAATTTGGAAAGAATATAGAAGTTTTGAAATAGTCATGGAGGAAAGGAGAGGAATCTGACTAGAAAAACATTAGATTGACTAGCAGTGTTGAGGGTCCAGGTGAGGGTAAACAAACAAAAAAAACAAGCTCACTGCCATCAAGTCAATTCCGACTCATAGCAACACTCTTTGGATTTCCGAGGCAGTAAATCTGTACGGAAGTAGTCTCCCCAGTCTTTCTTCCATGGAGTGGCTGGTGGGTTTGAACTGCTAACCTTCTGTTAGCAGTCAAATTCCTTAGGCACTATGCCACCAGAGCTCCTTAGGTGAGGGAAGTAACTATGGAAAAATATTTATACCCATTCCTCACTTACTGTTTATCTCATTATCTGACATTGTACATTTATGACCATGGTAAAAAATCTGCTATCTTGAGTACTAGTGGTGCACATCTGGCAGTAATGAATACTGAAGTGCAAGATAAAAGGAACATTGGCAGTGATGTTTAAGGTTATGTGTCAACTTGGCTAGGCCATAATTCTTAGTTGTTTGGCAGTTATGTGATGACTGTTGTGATCCTCTATTTTGTGATCTGATGTGATCACCTTCCATTTTCGCATAATGCAAATTTTTACATAACGACCTGGTCTTTGGAACCTAACCATGAGGAGTGGGTGTGTATGTATATACGTGTAGATAAAAACCATAACTATGAATATAAACAAACAAACAAAAAACAAACTCCCTGTCGTTGAGTCAGTTTCAACTTATAGCGACCCCTCCTTGGGTTTCCAAGGCAGTATCTTTATGGAAATAGTTTTGCCCAGTCTTCCTTCCGAGGAGTGGCTGGTGGGTTTGAACCGCCAGCCTTCTGGTTAGCAGTCAAATGCCTTAGGTACTACTCTACCAGAGCTCCCTAAGTATGAATATGAATCTGAACTATTAATATAGTGGCATCATTTCTATATAGTGATTATTCTTATTACAGCTTTTCTAGGAGAGAAAAGAATGTTGGATAATCTTTGTTGGCATTATTATAAATTAGTTTTGTTTAAAAAATTCTGGTGCTTTAGCTTGTCTCTTTCTGTCTTTAATGAACAATATTCAGTTATTATAGATCTTACCATTAAAATTATGGCCTTAGCATGACGTTGCACATTTGGAGCATAATTACATGTCTTATACTATATGTTATATAAATGTATTTAGATGTGTGTCTTTGTGTTGCTGGTTCTTTGTGTTAGATAATTGTATTTAGATGTCATGTATTTAGATTTGTTATTTCTTCAAGCTGTTAGGTTAATTAAAAAGGTATCTGCATTGAAGACTTGAAAGTATTTGAGTTTTTCTTTTCTTATTTAGGTGCAAGGCGGCCCCAGGTCACTTCAGGAGGGGTATCAGAGTCTACAAGTGGATTCTCTAAGCACATCCAATCCAATTTGGACTTCTCTCTAGTAAATAGTGCTTCTAGGTAAGACCAGTAAGGATAAAATAGTTAGTGTAACAATATTCCCCATGAAAAATAATACATGTATTTATTTTCTTAATAACAGATGTACTTTTTATCAATGTAAGGATGGTAGTGTGATATAGGAAGGGTCTGATGGATTTTACTTAAAACATATTTTCCCCCTATCTTAATGCCTCAGTGAAGAAAATGTGAAGTACTCCAGTTCCCAGCCAGAACCACGGACAGGTCTTTCCTTATGGGACACCAGCCCCTCATATATTGATAAACTGGTACAAGGGATTAGTTTTTCCCAGCCTACATGTCCTGATCATATGCTTCTGAATAGTCAGTTACTTGGCACTCCAGGATCCTCACAGGTAAAGGAATTTAATTTTTCATGTACATAATGGGAGCTCTTTATTTTATATATTTTTAAAGCCTTTAAACAACTTATAAATCTTAAAATTTAGTGTTAGCATTTTTTACTTTATACAGAATATTTGGATACAAAAGAGAATTAGAGTGGTTCTTCATATATAAGAATCTTAATAAATCACAGAAAAGAATTTTCATACTAAATACCTATGATATGACTGCTTTGGTCAGAATGGATTTATTCAACTTTCTTCTATTTGACATGTAGAACCCCTGGCAGCGTTTGGTTAAAAGAATGACACGATTCTTTACAAAATTGGATGCAGACAAATCTTACCATTGCCTTAAAGAAACTTGTGAGAAGTTGGGCTATCAGTGGAAGAAGAGTTGTATGAATCAGGTATGTTTTATTCATTTAATATCTTTTCCTGAAGAAAAAATTAAATTTTGAGTAAAAACTCATTATGAGAATATTTTAAAAATATAAAATAATTATTTCATTTGTATTGAAGTTTAAGGAACTTAAGTAAAATGTTTAACACAAGAAATATTTCTTAAAAAACCCTTCTAAGGTTTCTCTTTAATAGAGAATGTCCCCCACTTATTGTCTTTCATGACATTAATGTTTTTGAAAAATCTAAAGAGAGATTAGAATGGCAATTTTATAAATATGTTTTAATAACATAAACAATGAAAATTTTGGTATGCGACAGCAGAGGATATAGGAGAAGTGTAGAATTGCTAGTGTATTCATTTTTGATAGAAGGGAGTCATTTGTTTTATTTTTCAGTTGCATTGTGGTAAAATACTCAGTTTCTTTTGTTGCTGAGAGATCACATAAACTCTATGTCTGGTAGTGGAGCTGCCTTCTATTTACAGCATGGTTTGTGTTGGATACCCATGCCCATGGGAGGAGTGAGATTCTCAGCCACTACTCCTCTTATGACAGAGTTCCACAATTTTTTGTACTTATATTATCATTGGCCTGAGATAATGGTTTTTGTTAGGAATATTATCTATCCACACATTTGGCTTAACCTTTTTATTGTCTTAGGTTACTGTATCAACAACTGATAGGAGAAATAATAAACTGATTTTCAAAGTGAACTTGGTGGAAATGAATGAGAAGATCTTGGTAGACTTCCGACTTTCTAAGGTAAACACTCTTTTTGCTACTGTTAAAAAGCTAATGTTAAAAAGTATAAAAATATAGAAATATAAAAACTAAATAAAGTAAAAAAAGAAAATAAAAATCAAGCTTAATTTTGTCTCTTAGAAATTACATGTTTGATATATCGTATACTATTCTGTCTATGGTAATATTTGGGATCTCTGGTAGCATAGTGCCTAAGGCACTTGACTGCTAACCAGAAGGCTGGCGGTTCAAACCCACCAGCCACTCCCCGGAAGGAAGGTTGGGCATTCCTACTTCCGTAATGATACTGCCTCGGAAACCCAAGGAGGGTCACTATGAGTCGGGGCCGACTCGATGGCAAATAACAATGGTAATATTTATATATGGATATTTTTAAAAATGTGGTATTATGTTTATAAATATATGGCATTTATGCATGTATAATTTATTTTTTCATTTAATATTATGAACATTTTTCTTGTCGTCATTCTTAAAACCATGAAGAAAATAAAATTAAAATATTCCTAAGTTGTATTGACCAGTAGTAATCACTTTTAACAATTTGAAGCATTCTAATCCTTTTCTTAATGCATTCATGTATGCCTTTTTTAATAAATTCTGTGAGTTGTTTTCTTATATTAGATTTTTGTTTACATTTCTGATTATTTCATTAGACCACATTTCTAATTATTTCCATAGAAATTATTGGTTCTGAAGGTATAGTTTTAAAGCCCTTGTGTGTAAGACCATAGGGGAGCTCTGGTGGCATAGTGCCTAAGGCATTTGACTGGTGACCAGAAGGCTGGCAGTTCAAACCCACTAGCCACTCCTCAGAAGGAAGGTTGGGCAATTTACTTCTGTAGTGATACTGCCTCGGAAACCCAAGGAGGGGTTGCTATGAGTTGGATCTGACTCGATGGCAGTGAGTTTGGTTTTGGTTTTGGTTATGTAAGACCAAAATAGCTTTTTCTCTATTTCTTAAGAGTTTGCATATGTTTCCAAAGACGTTTGGAGGGGTAGGTCACACTTTTAGGTTGGAGATTTGTTGCAATACTGTTGTCCAGTTACTTGCTGTGGAATTACATTATTAAGATTCCAGTGTAATAAAATCTTTCCTGTAACTGGAATCTACTGGCTTTGATGCCACTGTGTATGGCAAGAATTTCCTGCAGTTTTATAGCTTATTTTTAGTTTACAAATCCCCACTGCCTATAGAAAACAATGACTTAGGGCCAGAGTTACTAATGCCAAAAATAGGATGCCATATTTTTTTCTGCTCTGAGCTTACTGTAGTAGAAACAGTGATGGGCCTGAAGCCTAGTTAGAATTAATTATGTAGCCACTTCTTCTACTAGGGTTTTTGTTCCTCAGAAAAGGATCTGTAGGGAATTGTAACTGGATATAATTAAGGATGTTTGTCTTCACTTACCACTGAAGTTTGATATTACTGTTTTTTTTTTATATTATTTTTGGATATTGCTCCTAATATAGGGCGATGGACTGGAGTTCAAGAGACACTTCCTGAAGATTAAAGGGAAGCTGAGTGATGTTGTGAGCAGCCAGAAGGTTTGGCTTCCTGCCATATGATATATCCATTGGCTGTGGGGCTCCTGGTGAATATAGTGCTGCTATGTTGACATTATTCTTCCTAGAGAAGATTATCCTATTCTGCACACTGCAAATCTAAAATAATAATTCCCGAAGAGATCCGTTCCTTCTGCTTTCCAGACATCTTCCACTCCTCTTTGTTTGTTCTGCGTACAGATATTACCTATATCATAATTGTAAATAAAACCTTAGGGAAGGGATAGGTAGAATTCATCAGGTATTTTTTTCAACAGTATTTATTGTCTGAATTTGGTATCCACCTGATGGAAACCAGTTTTGGAGTACAATAACTTTATAAGCTTTCATACCACCATAATTAAAGATGATGACCATGTCGCATTTTTACCAAAACATTTAGTTTCATCCAAAAAGTATTTCCTGCACACTGATTTAACTCTAGGGTGAATTAATAGAAACACAATCCTTGTGACTTTTGGAAATAGGTGTATTAGTCTGTGAAATGAGGCCAGCTTCAGAAAATGTATCTCCCATTATTTTCTGAAGTGCTTGGTTAGGTATATAAACCTGTTTTTGAACTGTAACTACTAATTAAAACTGCAAATAGGTGTGTTTTTCCTGGTGTACTTAATAATACATTGAAAACTGGTTGGTCTTTCAGATGTAAGTTGAACATAAACTCTAGTGCATAACTAACTTTACTCTAAAAATTACTGTTGCACATCTTAAATAATTTTCTATATTATTTTCTATTGTCACAGCTATATTTTAATTCTTTACTATAGAAATAAATTCTATTTTAAAAACAAATATATAAGAATTCTGAAATCATTGATGACCAAGCTAGCCCCACAGTACATTGAGCAGGTCCCTCCCCCAGTCCAGCACCTTAGGCAGATCCTGCTCCTTTTCCAGCACCTTGTGCAAGGCAGGCTCCCTGCACTTCAGGCAGGTTTGTGCTGCAGCCATCATTGTTGTATGCCATCTGTTGTTGTTGTTGTTGTTATGTGCCGTCGAGTCGGCCCCGACTCATAGCGACCCCTCCTTGGGTTTCCGAGGCAGTATCACTACGGAAGTAGGATTGCCCAACCTTCCTTCCGAGGAGTGGCTGGTGGGTTTGAACTGCCAGCCGTCTAGTTAGCAGGCAAGTGACTTAGCCACTATGCTACCAGAGCTCCCCATCTAGTCAGTTCCAAATCATAGCAGCCTTACATGACAGCATAAAACTGCCCTATAGGATTTCCAAGGCTATAAATCCACAGGAACAAACTACCACATCTTTCTCCTTTGAAGTGCTGGTGGGTTCCAACTTTTCAGCTAGCAGCCAAGTGCTTAACCCACTGTGCCATCATACTCCTTTGAATATCTATTAGATATCTGAAACTTCATGACAAAAATGTTTGATTTCTGTCCTTCAACTTTTCCTCTCCTAGTTTCTCCAATTCAGTTAATGATATTTCCACTTTTCTGTTCCTTAAGCAAGAAATCATCTGTGACACTTTTTTTTCCCTCTTACTTTAATACATTAAGTTAAATCCTATGGTCTCAGCATGTAAAATATATCCCACTTCTCACCTCTGCTACTACCATTAGTTGAAGGCTGTGTTACCTCTTTTGTATGACTGTGATACCTCTTAATTCTTTTTCCCACTTTGTCTTGTCCCATGATAGTTTATTTGCTAGAGAGTCAGCCTGAATGATCAATTCTTCTAGAATGTGAATCAGTTATCTGTCCCTGCTTTCAAGTCTTACGGCTTTCCATCACACTGAAAGGATAAAATTCTTAACATGTAACAGGGGAAAAATGCAAAACAGAATTTCAAATACTCATGGATTCTAGACTTTCTGGAGCCATGGAGGGTAGATGAATCCCTGAAACTATTGCCATGAGGTAATCTTTATACCTTAACCCAAAATATTCCCTTAAAACCAAATAATAGTTTAGCTTAACTAGTAAAAAAATGTCTGCCTTAAGCATTCTGCTCTTTTAAGAATTATGTATGTGTGATCAAAGTGACAACAGCAACTCAAAAGATTAGAGCGGAACCTTAAGGGACTGTGAGTTTATATTAAAGGCAGAGGGACAACTCAGAAAAGGAGGGTGAGAATGCTGTACAACTTGAAGAATGTATTCAATATCACTGAATTGTACATGTAAAAACTGTTGAATTTGTGTATGTTTTGCTGTGTATATTCTCAACAACCATTTTTAAAAAAAAAAAAAAAAAAACAACCTTCCCTGGTCTAGAAGGCTTTACGTAATTTGTCCTCTGGCTAGCCTTTTACCCCATCTACCATTTTCCTACTTGTTCATTCTGCTCTAGGCACATTGGCTTTCTTGTTTTGCACACAAAATAAGCACATTTGCACCTCAGGGTCTTTTCATTTCCTGCTACCTGGAGTACTTTGCTCCCAAATATTTTCATAGCTTGTGCATTGCTTTAAGTCTTTGCTTAAATGTTACCTTCTCAGCAAAAGTTCCTCCTATTTAAATAACTCTCCATCTCTGTCACTCTCTTTCCTCGTTTTCCATCATAACACTTATGAGCTGACATTATGTTGCTGTTAGGTGATGTCCAGTTGGTCTGACTCAAAGTGACCCTTTGTACAACAGAACAGAAACACTGCCTACTCCTGCAGCATCCTCACAATTATTGCTATGCTTGTGCCCTTTGTTGTAGCCAGTGTGTCAATCCACTTCATTGAGTATTGTCCTCTTTTTCATTGACCCTCTACAAAGCACGTTGTCTTTCTCCAAGGACCAATCCCTCTGACAACATGTCCAAAGTGTGAGAGAGGAAGTCTCACCATCCTTGGTTCTAAGAAACGTTCTGGGTGTATTTCTTCCAAGACAGGTTTGTTCTGGCAATCCATATTTTTGTTGTTAGGTGCTGTCAAGTTGGCTCTGACTCATAGAGACCCTGTGTACAACAGAATGAAACACTGCCCAGTCCTTCACCAGCCTCATAATACTTGCTATACCTGAGCCCATTGTTGTAGCCACTGTGTCAATCCATCTCATTGAGGGCCTTCCCCTTTTTTGTCGACCCTCTACTTTACCAAGCATGATATCCTTCTCCAGGGAATGGTCCCTTCTGACAACATGACAAAAGTAGGTGAGATGAAGTCTGGCTATTATCACTTCCAAGGAGCATTCCGGCTGCATTTCTTCCAGGACAGATTTGTTAGTTCTTTTAGCAGTCCATGGTACTTTCAGTATTCTTCACCAATACTACAATTCAAAGCATCCACTCTTCTTTGGTCTTCCTTATCTGTTGTCCAGCTTTCACAGGCTGTGAGGCGATTGAAAATACCATGGGTTGGGTTAGGTGCACCTTAGTCTTCAAAGAGACATCTTTGCTCTTCAGCACTTGAAAGAGGTCTTTTGCAATAGATTTGCCCAGTGCAGTACATCGTCTAATATCTTGACTGGTGCTTACATTGGTGTTGACTATTGATGGTGGAACCAAGTCATGTGAAATCCTTGACAACTTCAATCTTTTCTCCATTTATGGTGATGCTGCTCATTGGTCCAGTTGTAAGGATTTTCATTTTCTTTATGTTGAGATGTAATCCATACTCCAGTATAGATTACATACTACATTAATAATTAATACATACATTAATCATCATCAGTAAGTGCTTCAAGTCATCTTCACTGTCAGCAAGTTAAATTGTGCTATATGTGTATCGCAGGTTGTTAATGAGTCTTCCTCCAATCCTGATGTCATGCTGTTTTTCATATAGTCCAGCTTCTCAGATTATTTGCACAGCATACAGAATGAATAAGTATGGTGAAAAGATACAACCCTGACACACTCCTTTCCTGATTTTAAGCCATGCAGTATCTCCTTGTTCTGTTCAAACGAAAGCCTTCTGGTCGACCTACAGGTTTCTCATGAACACAATTAAGTGCTCTGGAATTCCCATTCTCAATGTTATCCATAATTTGTTATCCACACAATTGAATGCTTTTGCATAGTCAATAAAACACAAGTAAACATCTTTCTGGTATTCTTTGCTCTCAGTCAAGATCCATGGCAGTCCATGGTACATTCAATATTCTTTGCCAAAACCATAGTTCAAAGGTACTAATTCTTTGGTCCTCATTATTCATTGTCCAGCTTTTGCATACATATGAAGCAATTGAAAATACTATAGCCTGGTTTTAGTACACCTTAGTTCTCAAAGTGACATCTTTTCTTTTTAACACATTAAAGAGGTCTGTTGCTGCAGATTTACCCAATGCAATACATTGATTTCTTGACTTCTGCTTCCATGGGTGTTTATTGTGGGTCCAAGTAAAATGAAATCCTTGCCAAGTTCTATCTTTTCTCTATTTATCATGACATTGCTTACTGGCCCAATTTGAGGACTTTTGTTATTCTTTATGTTGATGTTATCCATACTGAAGGCTGTGGCTTTGATCTTCATCAGTAGGTGCTTCAAGTATTCTTTCAGCCAGTAGGGTTGTGCCATTTGCATATCACATGTCGTTAATGAGTCTTCCTCTAATCCTGATGCCACATTCTTCATGTATTTTAGCTTCTCAGATTATTTGCTCAGCATACAGATTGAATAAGTATGGTGAAAGGATCCAACTCTGATGCACACGTCTCCTGATTTTAAATCACACTGTAACCCCTTTTTCTGTTCAAATGACTGTCTTTTGGTCTATGTAAGGTTCCTCATGAGTACAGTTAAGTGTTCTGGAATTCTCATTCTTTATAATGTTATCCATAATTTGTTACGATCCACACAGTCAAATGTTTTTGAATAGTCAAACACAGGTAGACATTTTTCTGGTGTTCTCTGCTTTCACCCATGATCCATCTGACGTCTACAGTGACACCCCTCATTCCACCTCTTCAGAATCCAGCTTGAATTTCTGGCAGTACGCTATAGGTGTACTGCTGCAACAGGCTTTTTTTTTTTTAAATTGTGATTTGAGTGAAAGTTTACAGAGCAAATTCACTTTCTATACAGCAGCTTACATACACTTTGTCTCATGGCATTGACTG